AAAAGCAAGAACAAATGCCCCGAGGCTGGAAAGAGCATGTCATGTGTAAACCGTGATGTCGTAAATGTTGTATGAGACACGTAGCATGAAAGGAGGCATTGCCTGGTTGGCAGAGGTTATGGGTTCAGGACTTGGGTGGGTACAGGTACTCTGATGTAAAAACCTAAACCGTGTAGGATGGGCACCGCATTCTTCCTTAGAGCATCCAAGCACTCACCTGTGCTATAGAAATTCCCTTACAAGCGGTTCTTTGGCAGAGGTAGACTCTGGAAAGGGCTAGACGTTATCCTGCCCTGCGAGAAGGGCCTCAGCATGGTGACTATTCCAGCACAGGCCCTGTTGGCTGACCCAGCCTTTGGTGGCCTGCCGGGAAGTGTCAAGCATGGGCAGGGTTATGGAAACGAGAAAGCCTCTTTTCATGTTTGCCTAGTGATGAGAGGAAGAGATGAGACTGTCGCTTTCTCATATCTCTCCCGTGGACTCTTAAAATTAATTCCACTGTCAAGATTCCCACGCCCTAAATGTGGGTTTGGGGAGAGAAATTAAGACTTTGAAGTGGAGGAGGAAAGTATAGAAAGCATCCTCTAGACAAATACTCAACCCACAGATGTCAGAATCTGTGAGGAGGGAAGTAAAAAGGCACTCAGGGAAGCATTTTAGAGAGGGGAAATAAAGAACTGTGAGTAGAGATGGCTACTTCAGCTTAGGAAAGGAAATAGATAAAATACTAAAAGGTAGTGTTAAAGCTTTGAAAGGAATTTTTTCATTTGAGGGAGATTATGAATAATGAATTGCAAACACCATAGTTAATATGTCTGGTTTATGTTTCTTTCTGGAAAATGAATAATGTGTTCTAAGAGGAACAGCTTTTCAGGTTGTCCTACTGGACTGTTGTGGGGGTGAGCCCTGAGCCCCAGATTCCTCCACCAAACAAATGCTGGTTATTAGATGCTAGCAGCAAAGCCATGTTTATTCCAAAGCCAAAAACTTTCTAAGCCTCTACGCGCTTTCACAAATGAACCTGACAACACTAAAATTTCTGAGGAGATGTACTCCAGCTGTGGCAAATCCCTAATAATAAAAAATTTCCCCTAATGAGTCAGTCACACAGGAGGTAAATGAGACATTCTGTGTGAAGTCAGCATGTCATTTGGAGGGTGTCCTGTATACAAAAAGCCCAGCCAGAGACCTGGGGATTCACTGGGGCTTGTCCACAGGGCACAGCCTAGACATGGAAGAGAGGGGAGATTTTTGCCACCAAATTATAATTCTCGGCAGCTTTCCCCTCTAGCAAACCTGATAGGAAAACCCAGCTTTTCTAAGAAATTCAAGTAAAGGCTGATTATTTGCTTCACAAAAGGATTCACCGGAGGGGCCCTTTAAATAACAAGATAGCTCAGAGAGAAAATTTATAATACCATTGATTTATATGAAAACTTTTTCTCAAAAATGCATCCCTTCGTTCCATGTGTATGTAGATGTGTCATGATATGCTTGTAACTGCATTACACAAAAGGATTTGGGGTGGTATATCATTGAGGCAAGCCTATAACTGTGGCATTTGTCTGGTAGCCCCCCTTCATCACTGATTCTGTTAATCCCCTAAATTACTCCACGGGTGATTAGGCAACCAGATAAATCCCTCCCACTTCTGATGAACAAGCCAGTGGGGTGTCAAGGCCTCTCTTTGTCCTTCCTGGAGACATTGACACCAGTAAGACTGGAGCTATCCGGTGGTCCTTAAAAAAAAATTTTTTTTTAGGTATTTTTTGAGTGTGGGCCATGTTTCTGACAGTGTTCTAGGTGCTCCCACAGGCCGCGTTGTATTTAGTCCTCACTGCGACTCTGAGATAGGCGATGATGCTGATGATGATGGTGATATTTGCTTTTTCACTTGCTAAATTATGAAAGCTGGGTTTTTTTCCCCTCAACTCTTCTACTTTGAAAAATGTTCTTAATGAAAGCAGTTTTATTTTATATATTTGCGCCTTATTAGACAAATGTAGGCTTATTGTGAACAACTCAGATAATAGAAGAGAACAAAGAAGAAAGTAAAAATTACCAATTATTCCACCACCCATATATGTCACCACTGTTAATATTGTGGTATATAGTCTTTCAGACTTTTTTCTATATGTATATGCAAGGGATTATATATATATGTATACATATACATACACACACATATATACACACACATACATGTATGTTTTAAAACATACTTTTAAAAATATCTACTTTTTTTCAACCTAACAATACATCATGGTCATTTTTTCCATTAAAAACAAAAAACCTAGACCTACAGCACTATTTACTATAGCAGCAAAGTATTCCATTTTATCCATATACCAAAATTGATTTACCCACCCTCTGTTTTTAAACATTTCTATATAATGCTGTTTATAAACAAAGCATCTTTTTACTTTTCATAAGCTTCTTTTTATATGTTCATGCACAAAGGTGCATATACATCTTTACACAAATCTGATCATTTTCTTAGGAAAAATTCCTAGTGTGGGATTGCTGGGTTAAAGGGTATGTGCATGTTGACTTTTGTCATGTTTTTGCCATGGTGCCCTGCAAAATGTTTGGCCAGGTTTACATTCTGGCTTATACTGCACCTCTCCTTGCTCGCTGTCTATCAGGGCAAGTTGCTTCTGCTCAAGGCTCAGCCTCTTCACCTCTGAAATGGGGACAAGGCTACAACAGACCACAATTAACATTAAAAAAATTTTTTTTATTGGGTAACTGTGTTTTTTCCCATCATCTCTAAGTCAAGTCATTGTCCTTCAATCTAGTTGTGGAGGGCGCAGCTCAGCTCCAAGTCCAGTAGCCATTTTCAATCTAGTTTGGGGGGGGGGGCACAGCTCACTGGCCCATGTGGGAATTGAACCAGCAACCTTATTGTTCAGAGCATGTGCTCTAAACAATTAACATTTATTAAGCACAAACTAACTGCTTGTGCAGTGACCAATATAGAGTATGTTGGTCATTTAAATCTCACAACAACCCTTAGAGAGAGGCTCTAATATCCCTATTTTACTCTTATTTTCCCCATTTCTGAGGCTCAGAAAGGTTAAATAATTTGCCTGAGGGCACACAGCTGATAAGGCACAAACCCTGTTTTGTCTACTTCCTGGATGGGGGTGGGGGCGGACTCTTTCTTACAGGGCCATGCATTTGCTACTCCTGGTGAACCAGGTAATGTCTGTTTAAGGAATCCACGTGTCTTCTCAACCATTGTGCAAACTGCTCAGACATCACCATTACTCAGCCGGGAGTGACTGCCCAGCAGTGCTTATACCTCATTGTGGAAATAGTAAGGAGGGATTTTCCAGAAGCTTTGGGGAATTTCCTCTGAGAACAAACTAAGTGTCTTCCACTAAGTGTGTTGGAAGTGAGGAAACGTGTTTTCAAAGTCACACCACCTCCCACACTGAAATCACAGATTCCCCCGCCCCCACTGGCTTTCTCAGTCTGTGGCCCTCTCTACAGAGCTCCTGGGGGAAACCCTGCCCTCTCATCTTCCCCAGACTTGAACCAGCTTCTGTGTGATTCATTTGACTGCAGGATTTCTGCTCTCTGGGATAAAAGAATAAACTCATCCTGGTCCACTCCTTATACTTCCTTCGCAGGCCTCTTTATTTGGAAGTGGCTGAGCAATCTGAAATATAGCTACTGGGGGCTGGAGTGAGGCCTCGGGCCACTCCAGCTCAAACAAGCCACTTCTGCAGGCGCCCAGCTCCCACAGACCCTGTATGTGTGACAGGAGCCAGCAGGCACACCCTAGGGAGGGTACCCTTTCCAGTTCATCTTTTTAACCGAAAGAAAGAGCATTCTTACTTGTTGTGTTAACAGGTTGATGCAAAATAAATAAATAGGGAGAGGGAGAAAGATGGTTTTCAGTAAATAATCAGCAGTTGTGACAGAAGTGTCTACTGGGACCCCAGAGAAGGAGCCCAAAAGGAGCACAGTGAAGATTGCCAGCGCACATACCGAGGATGAAAATGTGTGTCTGCACAGATAAAGTGGCACAGTGTGTTTGTGCCATCCCCCAAACCGGGTCCGAGATGTCTTTGAGGTGTCTTCCCCCCACCGTGGCCAGTTGGATTATGTTTGCAATGAGCTCAGGCCTTCGCGGCCCAGGGACCGGGCCTGCTCTGCCTCTTGCAGAGGCTAGGAGTTATGTGCTCATAGAAGCTGGCCCCCGGGGATTCACCCCCTGCTTTGGGAAAAAGGTTTTTATTGTATTATCTAATATGATGCGGATTCCTTTTTAAAATGTGTTGTTGACTACACACAGCTGATGGGAACTTCACAGAGTCATCTCAGGAAGGGAGGTGGTCCATGTTTGGGGAGTCTTTGTCATTAACATTTAAAGATAAGAGAAGATGTGGGGATGACCCAGGAGAAATCTGAAATGTGGGGGAGGAGGCAGGAAAATAAAAATATCTCTGAAACATCTCCAGTGTGCCTGGCTCAGTGCCTAGCACCTTACATATGTTTATTTTTTTCATTCCATCTCCATCCAACCCTTTGAAGTGCATATTTTTATCCTCATCTTACAGATGAAGAAATTGATGCTCAAAAGGGTTAAGTAACTTGGCAGTGACACACAGCTAAGAAGAAACGACTAAGATTCAGAGAGATCATAATGGAAATAAAAATGGTGCTACGGAAGGAAGCAAAAAATGCTTTTTTGAGATATTTGATAGACTGATGCTACTGCTCTTATATGGGCAAGAGATAAGGCCTTAAAATCTACCATCTGCTGAGGTGCTCATTCTCTCTGTGGCTTTCATAAAGCAATGCACCTTCCTATACCTAGGTTTGCTAGGCCACAGGACAACATAAGTGACCTTGGTATTATATCAATCTGAAACACCTGAGTGTCTAGGGATAAATGGAGAGCACATGTGAACTGGAGGGAAACATGGTCCTTTGCATCTCCTTAAAGTGATCTGTTCTCCTATGTGTCCCTTTGCGCCATCCTCACCTAGGTATGACTTCATTGAGATTCGGGACGGGGACAGTGAATCCGCAGACCTCCTGGGAAAGCACTGTGGGAACATTGCTCCACCCACCATCATCTCCTCGGGCTCCATGCTCTACATCAAATTCACCTCCGACTACGCCCGGCAGGGGGCAGGCTTCTCCCTGCGCTATGAGATCTTCAAGACAGGTCAGTGTGGTCATGGGCGGAAAGCGGGGAGCTGGGCGTCTTAGAGACGATGGGATACCGCCATCTGTGTCTGGCCGTGGGGCGCTGTGTAAGGGAGCTGTGTAATAGTTATGTGCAGGTAGACGGAGTCCAGTTGGTTGAGACAGGTGGTAGGGGTTACAATTTTATCCAGACTGAGCAAGCTGGTGGAGAGAAGAAAGGTTCAAGGTGAACCTGAGATAGCCTCAGATGAAAAGCCAGTTTAGGTTATCATCCAAACGGAGCTGGCGAATTGCAGGATCAGTGCTGGGTGCTGCTTGGCGGGCAGGCAAGCATTGTTTATGATGCTGAAAGAGTAGGGGTGCCAATTAAATAGAAAAATACTTTTGGAAAGAATTGGAGTTTGTGTGTGTTTAAACATCACAATAATCTTTATGGGGAAAACCAAAACTTAGTTGAACTTCCTCCTAATTACTTCATGGTTTAATATTGCCTTTATCTGGAATTACATGGGGCAGAAGGACATAATCTTTTCAGTGTATAGTCTCTAAAAATCTTACTATGTCCCACCCCCTTCCCAGGGAGGTCAGGCAGTAGCTTTTACATTCAAATATGGCTCCTAGGAATCCCCCTGGCTGATCTATTTTACTACTTCTACCCATTGAACCTCCTAAATGCCAATGAAGCTGACCCTCTGAAAAGCCAAAAAAAAAAAAAAAAGATGGCAGAAAAGGAGTTAGAGAACGCTGCACATCAAGTTGGCCACTTACTTTCCATCAGGTCCCCCTTAGATTACTTTAGGCCCTGAGAATATGGGCCAGTGCTATTTCCATAGCTGAGTAGAGCCAACTTTGATTCACAAGATGCTGGTTCAGCATCTACACTGAAGCACTCCAAGCAGCAATGCCCTTCCTCCGATATGTGCACTCATTATCTTGAGACTAGGTGAAATTTATCCTTCCACTCTCCCCTCTCCGGGCCTGCTCTGCACCTCACAGGCTCCCGCCCCATCTAATGAGTGTGCTCTCCTCTCCAGCAGCCTAAGTTTTGCAACTTGTGGATGGAGCCTGGTGAAAGGGGAGGCTGTCAGCCTTGTCATCGAGAGGCCCAAGTCCGGCGCCTGTTGAGTTCAGTGTGAGGGGAACTATTCATATATATTTTCTTTTTCACTAAACAGTTCTTGAAAGGAAGTGGTAGCTGCTGAAAGCACTTTTTATATCCACTCTGTCTAAATATTTGTCAGATTTGTCTGCTTGGGAACAAGAATGTAGAGTGCCGTGAAGGGGTAGGGCCAAGGGAACTGTGTCAAGCCGGAGTAGGAGCCGGGACTGTCCCAGGGCACACGTCCCAAAAAGGTCCATCTGTCTTGTGTTATCATGCTCCTGATTGCATGAGGTCACAGAGACCGACCATCTGTGCCCAGTGGCTCAGGGCTGGTGTGAGGCTCCCACATAGCTAGATCCACATTCCCTTGAGTTCTGTGCAAGACTCAGACCAGTCAGTGCCTCCAGCACTGGTGGAGCTGTCCTCATACCATTGTCTGCCGGGGACGAGGGGGCAGCGGGGAGAGAGGAGAGAGAAGGGAATGAAACAGGGAGAGACAGGTATGTAAATCCTCAGCACCTAAGAGATGCACAGTAGCTGTTGTTGGAGGAATATAGTATAATACATAGATACGTGAATTGAAAGGAAAGCTATAATATAAAGCGGAATGAGTAAGCACTAAGTACAGGTATGCCTGACATGCTATGGTTATGAAAACGAGGGTTCCATCGAGTGGCTTAGCAAACAGAATCTGGGAAGTCTGTTAGATAGATAGCAAGGTCCCCAGTGCTGAAGCTGTCATTCAGCTCCACTGTGCTGACCGAGAAAGGAAAACAGCTCCAAGCAAGATCTTCCAGGGAGCTGGCCATGGGAAGTTAGAGCAAGAGGAACAGGACGATTTCAGCTCATCTCTGTTTCATGCCTCCTGACTTGGTATTTCTCAGAGGATGATGCCACGTTCTCCAGAAGCCACAGAAGAAGTGAATGTTAACTCTATCCATTGTGAAAATATGAAGGGATGATGTTAAAAGATAAAACACACAAGAGGGTATTATTAACTCAGCATTGCTGTTTTGAGGACAGACTGAATTACGATTTTGAATGAGGCAGGAGCTCTGTGGATTTCGTAGGAACTGTAGTGCCAGCCAAGGGAGGTGGCTTGGCCGTGGAGACATAGGGCAACTCACTTTAAGGACTGGGATTACCTGTACAAGGAAGAAGGAGATTATTGCAGGGGGTAGTTATCTCCACTGACAACAGCCATGATTCTGGGGAATGGAGGAAAGAAGATGAGAGCCCAGGGGTTTTCTCGGGGCCACTCGCACCTGCCGTCATGCCCTTTTGAAAGGGCAACTCTTGGCCTGAAAGTCAGCCCTATATAAAACACATACATGTGTGGGGGGTGCAATTTTCAAAACTGAAAAGTTTAAGAAGATGAGCATTTTTCCAGGTGCCATGCCCTGCACCCACTGTTAGAGCCTTGAGAGAAAATACACCAAGTTGATGTCATCCGCAGAACATGAAAGAAATGTATGAGCATGCTGAAGAAATCCAAACAAACACAGCTATGTTTGCTGGTTTGATTCATAAAGAGAAAGAACGGGGAACCATAAACACAGATACACAAATAACCACACAGAGGGCTCTAGAAGTCTTTGATACCACATTGCCCTGGCAAGACTCTGCTGCAGAATTAAAGCGACAGACAGAAGCCCACCACTCGGGTACAGACAGGGACACGTGGCTGGAGTGGAAGATTCATGTCTGCCCTGAATGAAGTGGTTTTTATAAAAGAGCCTATATATTACCAGACTGTCCTGATATAAACGGGTAAACCAAAACCAACACGACTTGCAAACTTAAAGGATCTCAGATTACCAAATCATGAGCAGAACAGAGAAAGAAATTTTTAAGTCACTTAAAATTGGAGACTGAATCACTGGAAAATGTGGGGTTTTTTGTTTGTTTTCTAATGCTCCTTGGACCAAACTTCAAGATCAAGTTTTTTTTTCCTGGGATTCAGTGACATTTTGGAAACTGAAATCTTTGGGATTATTCACAGATAGAAAAAACCTGGAATGCCCCCTCCCCCAACTCCCAGAATTGAAGAACTGCTTTCACCTTTTGTGATCAGGCCAAGCTCAGCTGTGGATAAGTCCACCATGTTTTAAATAGCTTTATGCATACAGATCCTTCCTCTTCTTATATGCAGAGTTACTGTAAAGTTTACAGTGGAAAAACCTGGAGTGGACATTTTTCATACCAGAGTTCTTTGGTATGAAATCACTCACTGCAGCCGAAATCCCCCAGCTTCTATGGACCATCTTAGCAATGAGTGAACTGGAGAATTTGTTGACTGAGCTATTTTTTAACCTTTAACCCCTTTAATCCGTTGCAGAAAAGGATCTTTGGATTAGGTAGGTATCTGCAAGGTTCAACTTTTGTCTCAAGGATGGTCACCCTTCTCTGAGATCTCTTCTCCTCGTTTGATATTCAGCTGCCTGCTTTCTGACACTTGGAGCACAGTCCTAACAGTGAGATGTGTGATTACAGATGAATTCATGATTAGAATGGACAAGTTTGATGTTTTTGCGTAAAGAAAGGATAATACTGTTTATCTACCTCATTCAAAATAAGCCAGAGGATATATACCCCCTGTGTAGCCATATGTCAGAAACAGATCCTTTTTTTTTTATTTTTTGCCTTAAGGATGTCAGATTGAAAAATTCTGTCCAGTCAAACTCAGGGCCTCTGAGCCCTAGGAACTGTGGGTACTTCAGAACCTCACATTCTCCAGGCCTCTCTCGGGCTTACTAGGTGTCCATTGTGGAAACCCCAATCCCCCATGGATGGGAGGAGCCAAAGAAAGATTCTCCCATAAATCCCCTACTCCCAGGGGTGGAGATTCCCCTTGCCTTGGAAGGGAAGGACAGTAGAGTAAACTCTAGGAGAGAATGTCAGGATGCCTTTTCTAGCTCTGCAAGCATGTTGTGAATAGAGAGTTAATTTCCTCTGGCTAAGTGGCCCACGTGCAGAAGGCTGCAGAGCAGCCCTAAACTCTAACCTTTTCAATATTCCTTTCGGTCCCCCAAGACCTGCCAGCTGGCTTGGCTTGGCCAAACTGCCTCATCCCAGATCATTGAGGAGGCCCTTGGGAGCTGGGGGCTCGATGGTAAAACAAACTGGGAGGGAGGGGGTGGTGGAGCGAGTCCACCTCATCCCTCCAGGCCTGGCTGCCCACAGGGCTGCCTTGCCCCTGAATGATGGAGAGCAGAGCTGCTGAGATGTGACACTTACAGAGCCTCTAACGAATCCTCAAAAGGTTAGCTCTCACCCCAGGTGTCCTGGGTCCTCACTTTGCCAAAGCACAGTGCTGGGCAGAAGGGTGAAGGTGATGGATGGGTACATTGGGTTATTGGAATTTCCTACCTGATGCTAAAGAAAGTTGCAGTCTCTCTCCCTTGCTCGTTTGCATGGCACCTTTTCCAAGTCAGACATTTGCCACGTTCCAGGAAGCAATCATCAATAAAGAGACTTATGGAGCGGCCTCTGCAGAAGCCTGGGATAGAGACATCGCTGCAGGCTAAGATCAGTGTATTGACATCACATAGTTATATTTCAGTGGGATCCCCAGAGGACACTTCCTGCCAGTAAACACCTGGTTTATCGAGTATTTCTGTATTTTTTTCTTCATGTTTAGAGTGCCTATCATCCTCCTCATAAGTCCTGCTACCTTTTTTAGTTTTAAACCCAGAACACCGTGGAATCAATTCTAAGTGTTCAGCATTTACACACGCCACGTTAACTCAAGTCACGGCTCACTCTGTGCATTGTCATGGGCCCACGGTCTGGTCTGCGGTGTCCTAGGACCGTCCCTGGACCTCCCCTGGCAAATGGTGGCTGGGAGAAAGCACAGGAAGGCCCTTTTAATCTGACTCCATCTAGAGGCATTAGGAGTTATGGTGGCTGTAATCCTTGTACAGATCTCACTGCCTCCAAGCCTGCACTGGGATGTGAATGTGTCCCGCATTTAATAAGGACACCTCCGTGAGTCCCAAGAAGGCAGACACAAGAGCTTAGGGGAGAAACAAGGCCATCCTCTCTAGAAGGGAACCAGAAGCCTTCCAAATGTCAATACACTGCCGCATTTTTCCAAACTTGCTGCTGGAGCGGCCTTTCACAGCCCCAACGCCCTGCTGTGATCCACCGGCTACAAACATCGATTGTTAATTGTCTGGCCACTACAGAGCAGCTCGTTTTAATATAGTCATGACATGAATGAGACCCAAGCTCCCCTTTGCCCCTCCCCTGAGGCACCTTGGATCTTGGAGGGAGAAGGGGGCACTTAGTTGGCTCTGGTACAATAGGGGCTGTGTTGAGGTCAGCAATAAATAAGGGGCAACATTGTTTGCCCTGCTGGCAATCGGCAAGCCTTCCTTAAGGATTGAAATAACTTACATTTCTGGAGCAAGCAGCTGAGTAATTGAGAAAGAAGACTCTGTTCCTCTTTCCAAGAGAATCTCTCTCTCTCTCTCTCTCTCTCTCTCTCTCTCTCTCTCTC